ACACACACACACACACACACACACACACACACACACACACACACACACACATACGTGTTTTGAGGTCATTATGTGGACATTGCCCCAAACCTACATTATGTGGACACCCCATATCATCCAAAGATATGGGTGGAATCAATCAATATTTGCAGTGTAAGTCCAGTATACAAAAACATCATTGTCCACCAAATTTCAAGAGGCTACCTAAATATTTAGTCCAGTATGTTTTTTTACTAACGTTAGTGGGACATTGCATTATGTGGACTTTACGACCTCCTGACCTTTTGCACAAAGGTGCGCAGATGGTCCATTATTGAGACTTCCGGAGCATAAAAGGTTTTTAAGGGCATTGGGTGCCTATAATGTTTATTAATTCACACACGGGTTGGGATATATATAAATAGACCCTCTGTATCTGGGATCCATGAGCAACATCTTCTTTGGTGCATTTTCCTTTTCTCCATCCTTCTTTCTCCTTCCCCTTCTTCTATCATTTCTTCCACCGCTTACCCCGTGTGCAGCAAAACTAGAGGTCGTCCATCCCACAGAATGGGCGCCTCGTTGACCGTGGGGTGCGACCTGTGGAAACCGGGTAACTGGCAGTTGAAGTGAGATCAGTCTGCGGACTGTCCCTCGCCAACACACCTCTTTGACCCACTTTTTCCTCCCACGGGAGGGTGGGGCGGCCTATGCCACTCAATCGATTTGGAGCTGAAGCCCCTCCAGTTTTTCCTTGGGTCAATCTTGATGGGACGATCTAGTACACTTTCGTGGAGAGTATAACTCCGGAGTAGCTCTGGCTCAGCTCTGGTCATCCGAGCAATGTTTCCTCTGTTTCACTCGGTGGTGGGAGGGGAGCCCCGGAGTTGAAAAGCATTCCAACACACATTGAATCCCCCAAAACATTCTGGCCCATCCTCAGTCCCCAAGGATACAAAAAAGTTTCGGCTCGTAGAAGCGGGTGTAGCCACCGAGCCGAGCAGACAACCAGGAAAACCGACCTTTACGGCTGATTGTGCTCTCCCTCCTCCCAGGGAGCTTCCCGAGCAGCCGTACTTGACCATCTGCAATTTTGATGCACAGAAGAAGATCGCAGATCTAACCCTTTTCATGACAGGAGATGCTTTAACACAGACACTGGGATACATCCCCACCAACGTCCAAGTACTGTCTTCTGGTGCACTCCTTGTTTATGAAACAGAAATAACTGGACCCCTGTATCTCACGACCTTCCATGGTATTCCTGTGAATCTTGGAGACACAAGAAGTTCAACTGCTTGAAGAGCGTCGTCCGCAGTCATGAGATGAAAGGCTGCTCTTCAGAAAAAAGTGTGGCTATAATAATTGTGAGGGTGTGGTCGAAGCCCGCCAGATGACTCTTCGGCGGGGCGGGACCGCCCTTGAAAGGAACACAGTTGTTTTGACTT